ACTCTAGTTAAATACTGGGTTACAGTACATGCTTCTAATTATTAAAATTCAAGTCTGAAAAGGCTTCCTTTGCTCAGCAGGTAGATTAACATATAAATGTACTTTTCTCCATTTCAGGCTCCACTAGCTTCAGCTAATATTGCTATTATCACTAAGTAATACAGTGATCTGATGAAGCTAAGCTGCCCATGGAGCTGTTCCTTCCTCGTTGTTGATTGGTTGTCACGGTCACTCATGATAAGCTTTGCCTGTTGGCTGCCATCACTCAGCTAATCTTCACTGAATGTGCTTGAGAAAGTGAATAACACTGAATAAATAAGTAATAAGCGGTTGATGGAAAGCTCCACATCTCCATCCACACGAGATCATATTTCCATACGCATTACCATACACATCAAACACCTTGCCTTCATGAATTAAATTTTGAACATATAGTTGCTGCTCAGAGCAAAATGCTTCCTCCACCTGCCTACATACACACACACTTACTTGAAATTACGCTAAATATGCTAAGTGATGCAAGCTTGACGGGTGCAGCAGGTCCCTCTGGCCACTTTATGCTAATTAATGCGGTGCCGCCCTCTGCAGAGTTGCTGGACTAATTAACGCTAGCTGCTGTCTGTGACATCTGAGCTCTGTCGCACTCAGCGTCTTACTCCCTGCTGACTCCCAGGATCTCCCTTCGCCTGGCTGAGGTCTAACCTTTGTATCACGCATTCCGTGCAGACAAAGAGTTTCCCCATCTCTCAAGACATTTGTAGGTCAAACACGGAAAAATTTTGTCGACACGGTTGGGATTGTAATGTAGCCGAACCAGAGTGGGAACATACAAGTGCTACTCTCGAGGTGAAACCTGAGAAGAAATTCTACAGGAAGATTTGAGCCAAGTAAAACTTTAGCTACCGGTCACAATAACAGCTCATACTGAGAGGAGAGGAAATTGGACAGAGAGATGGATTCTGAATTTCACCCGTAAGACTAGAGAGCTTCCTCTCTACCATTCAAGTGAATAAGCCAACTATCCACTCTTGAATTATGAAAAATTCTCCAAGTGTCTCGTTTCATTTTGTATTTCATTCATCTTCCTTCAAACGATGCCATAACATCTGAGAGAGCACAGACTGAAACAGTCACAGAAAGTGATTCAGCAGTGAAGACATGAATGAGAGGTATAAGATAAAAAAATAAACAAAATCTCCAAGTCACAAATGGGGAAAGTGAAACATTAAAACGTTTAATAAAGTCAACTCTTCACCATCATTAATACACACATTTCTGGAGCACATTTAGTTAAAGCATATGGTTCTCTGTTTATCCATCAACAGGGGGGCTTTTTACCCGAAGCTAAAATGTTCATGCCACCTAAAATCCATGTATGTTTTTACGAACATGAGTGTCCTTGAAAGAGGAGAAACTATGTTTATGTGTGTGTGAATCTGTGTGTGTGTGTGTGAAGGTTGCATGTGGAGCTCTGGACCCCTCTGCAGAGCAGATGGCAGCACTTCCTCCGGCTAGATAAATACTTCACGTGGGGAAATCTGTCACTGGGACAGGGAAGGGCATGCTTCCAGAGAGCCGGGGACAGGATGAACACACAACATCACAGTATGAGCACATGGCTGTGATCAGAGTCAAACATTAGGCAGTCAGGATGGATATGTGTGCTTCAAAAAATGACTTTTAACTAATTTAAGGACCCGTGATTTATTCGGTCACATGTGCAAACAGAGTAAAGGAGGCACAGGGGAGGTTATTAAAAAGACAAAGCTTCTAGTTTAGTATAGTTTCCATAAAATGTTTAGATAATCATTCTTTTCTTGCACCAAAGACATTTTTTTGAATTCCTGACATAAAAGCATTATTTAATCCTCCAGATCTCCAGCATAATGACAAAAGGTATTAATAAGCAGCTTTAATGCTGTATTCTACAGCTCTGCCATATGGACCCCTTCGTAAAAACCACCTGTTATGTTCACTTGACTGCTTTCTTATCTTTTTTCAGCTTACTACTTACTCTCAGCGACTACATCGAGGTAACCATTCAAGCCACCGATACTTCTGTCGAAACCTTCACTCAATCTTTTAGTAAAATTTGAATTTATGTCGCAGCTGAGCTTATCGCAGTTTGATTTGGGGTAGAAGTCACGTGACATACTGTTAACTTTAACTGCAAGTGCATTTTGTTTTTACAATCATAGATAGTGTAGTGTTTTACCCGTTTGCCTAACACACCAAAAGACAAATCTGAAAAAAGAAGATAAGAGTTAGGTTCATAGTATCCGACTCCTGGAAGCTCTGTGATGAATTATCAATCTGTATGAAGCCTAACGCCAACTCCTTCTCCACCACAA